ATGCTGAACAGGCACATGAAAAGATGTTCAACATTACTAATTATTAGAGAAGTGCAAATCAAAACCACACTGAAGTATCACTTAACACTGGTCAGAATTGATGTCATCAGAAAGTTCGCAAATAATAGGGAGTTCCGGTCAAGATAGCAGAGAAGTAGGACCACGAGCTCGCCTCTCCTTGCGACTACAACAAAACCACAACTGACCGTTGACAACCATCAAAGATAAAAAGACTGGAACCTAGCAAAAAGATTTTCTTCAACCCTAATAAAAAAAAGAGGGAACCACAGGAGGACGGTAGGAGGGGCGTGCTCGCAATAAAATCAGACCCCGTACCTCTTGGGTGGACAACCTACAAGCTGAAGAATAATTAAGTCACAGAGCCCCTCCCACAGGAGTGAGAGTTCTGGGCCCCGCATCAGTCTCCCCAGCCTGGGGTTCTGGCTTTGGGAGGAGACCCCAGGACATCTGGTTTTGAAGGCCAGTGTGGCTTAACTCCAGGAGCCCCATGGGACTGGGGGAAACAGACTTTCTTCTCTTGAGAAGTACACACAGGATCTCATGTGCACCAGGTCCAAGGGCAGAGGCAGTGATTTCATAGGAACCTGGACCAGACCTGCCTGCTGGTTTCGGAAGGTCTCCTGGGGAGGTAGGGGTGGCTGTGGCTCACCCTGGGGACATAAAAGCTGGTGGCAGACCTGGGAGTGTTCATCTACATGAGCTTTCCTGGAGGCTGACATCTTGACTGGATTAGTACCAAGACCCAGCCCCACCCAACAGCCTGTAGGCTTAAAGACTGGGATGCCTCAGGCCGGACAGCATACTGGGTGGGAACACAGCCTCACCCATCAGCCGACTTCCTCAGCCACAGATGCCTCTAGACAGGGCCCTTCCCACCAGAGGACCAGCACCAAGCTCCACCCAGCAGTGGGCAGACATTTTTTCCTTCAGCCAGAAAACCTGCATAAATCTCTTGTCCAGCCTCATCCACCAGGGGGCAGATACCAAAAATAAGAAACAATCCCAAAGCCTGAGGAAGGAATCCACAAACACAGGCCGGACTCTGCCCTGGTACTGGCTGGACCCTGGTCCTTGGGAGACAAAGCAGGCGTGTATTTCTATACACTAACCACAACCAGACAAACAACAAGAACTTATTGTATAGCACAGGAATCTATATTCAATATCTTGTAATAATCTCTAATGGAAAATAATCTAAATATATATATATTTTATATGTATATGTAGTATATGTAACTGAATCACTTGGCTGTACACCTGAGACTGACACAATATTGTAAATCAACTATACTTCAATAAAAAGAAAGTCTAGCACACACACACACACACACAAAGAGTAGAAGTTTAATGTTCTCATCAAAACACAACAAATTGTAATTACTTGAAGTGAATAATGTGTTGACTTACCTTATGATAAACATTTTGCAATATATATGTGTATCAAATTTATCACATCGTACACCTTAAATTTACACAATGTTATATGTCAATTATATCTCAATAATACTAGAAAAAAAGATAATTGAATAGACTGACACACAAATGTACACATATATAGCAACTTTAGGGTCATTGTTTATTTTACCAAAATACAGACATTCATTATAATGTTTCCCCCACAAACCTTGTCTTCTTGCCCCCAAAACTCCTTCTGGATATCTTTCTAATTATATTGTGTATTTTTAACTCATTCTTTATAATAGCTTTATAATAGCTCTTTCCGTCATATGGATGAACCACAGTTTATTCAGCCATTGTCACATTGGTTGTTGCCAGTCTTTGAGAAAAAAATTCCACACACACACATGCAAGTACATAGTTAACTATTGATACTTTAATTTCATTTATTTTGGAAAATTCCTAGAAGGAGAATTCCTGAAAAGAATGTAAAACACAATTTAATTTTAATAAATTGGATTCCAAAAAAGCCATAATAGGAACATTATTACCAACAATGCTCATAAATGCCATTTTCCACACATCTTATCGACCAATAGATTTTAGAGTGCTTTTTGATGAGCTGAGGGGTGGTAAACTACATATACTATAATTTAAATTTCTTCCTGTGGGGCACAACTTTTGCAATATATTTCACCCATAAAGTTTTATTATGACTCATATGGGCTGATATCAGGACTATTTACATATTTACAGAAAACGAAAGAAAAAACGCTGCATCAAACCTTAGGCCTTATTACTGAGAATCTTACTGCACTGCCCATGAACTTAGGACTTTTGCCAAAAAACTTCTACCCAAGTCAAGCAGGGAGAATGGTGTCAACATACTGAGTTTTCTAGGGCATTTGAAAGGAAAAAAAAATGTGATGTTATCATTGCCCCCGATAAAAACCAATTCTTTTTCACGTATCAGTCACATGTGTCTTTCCTAGGATGTTGGTGTTTCTAACAACGGGAATTAACAAGATCTAAAGCACTAATAATACCAAATAAGGCTGAGCCTCAAGGACACTGGAAGATGTCTAAATATTTCAGGTATAAAAAGAAAATTGGAACTTTTTCTGTGCTTATGAACTGGTTTCAAGAACAGCAGTTGAATTGATCCATTTTGGAAACAAAGGATTAGACACTGATTGCAAAAATGCTCCTCACAAAGTATTTATGATCGAATTAATATTGTCAGTTGAATTCCACAATATGGGGTGCCTACAGAGCTACAGCAAAGTTCCTCACACTGGAAAATGCAACTGTGGATGCTACTAGAGTCTTTGTTCTTGATCTTCTAGATGATTATTCTCCACCTTGACATTTATGTTTTCCATTTAGAGGCTAGATGTTTCCTCAGGACTTTCTGAAAAGCCCCCACCACATCTTTATTTCTCAGGCTGTAGATGAGTGGATTGAGCATGGGTGTGAGGACAGTGCAAAATACAGACACAGCCTGCTCTTGATCAGGGGAATGGGAGGAACCAGGTGTCATGTACATATAAACGCATGGTCCTAGATAAAAACTTACCACTGTAAGATGGGAGGAGCAGGTGGCCAAGGCTTTGTTCCTGCCTTGGGGAGATTTCATATGAAGGACAGTGAGGAAGATGAAGGTATAGGAAGACATAATGAATCCAAAAGGGATAATGATAAATGCAATGCCCATCACAAAGACCACCACCTCATAGGTGGAAGTGTCTTTGCATGAGATCTTCATGATTGCTGGCATCTCACAGAAGAAATGATGGATTTCTCTGGAGCTACAGATAGGCAGATTCATGGTATAGGATGTATGGACTGTGGAAACTAAAATGCCCCCAGTCCAAGACACTATGACCATTTGCAGACAGACCTCGTGGTTTATGATGACTGCATATCTCAAGGGGTTACAGACAGCTACATATTGATCATAGGCCATGAGGGTCAAGAGGATACATTCAGCACCCCCAAGAGTGAAAAAGAAAAACATCTGGGTTCCACAGGCAACAATTGTGATATCCTTCCTTCCAGAGAAAAAGTTTACCATCATCTTTGGGACAGTGCTGCTGATGAGGGCCAGGTCTATGAGAGAAAGCTGGCTGAGCAGAAAGTACATTGGAGTGTGGAGCCTCAAGTCCATCCATATCAGAAGAAGCAAGATGAAGTTCCCAATTACTGCGGCAAGGTAAATCAAGATGATGATGTAGATAAGGATACTGACATACTTCATATTGGGGAAGAGTCCTAAGAGAGTAAAATCTGTTGTCAATGTCTCATTTTCTTCCTCCATGGCTATGACTGATCTGGTTGAACCTTTCAAAAGAGGAAGAAAAGCGAAATACAAGTCAAATGAAATGCTTTAAAGCCTTTAAAAATATTTTTATTGGTCAGTTATTGCTGTAGTAATGTGAGGTGAAAAATAACTCCACAAATTTCTGTGGCCTTTGACAACAAACATGTATTTTCTTGCTCCCCTATCTGTGAGGCAGGTGGGGCATTTTGCTTGAGGCTGCCAGCAAAGTACATATATATATCCTCCACCATATGTATGTCTCTTGTTCTGGGGCTTGCTCTTCTCAAGGAAGACAGCAGAAGCCAAAATGGGCAAGCAAAAAAATCACAAGATTCGCCCCTAAGGCCTAAACTTAGAACTGAATCTATTTCTTTCAATCACATTCCACTGACTAGAGCAAGTCACACTGAGAAGTCCAATATCAATGTGGCCGAGAAGTTAACTCCGCTCACAGTGAACCATGAAAGGATGAATGAAGAAGGAACCGGAACCAATTAATATGATCTATTTCCCAGAGTTTCCCAGAGTTCCTTCCACCACCATCCTCAATTTCATGGTCTTGATGCTGGGTTTTCAGATATTTCATAATTTAATTCTTAGTCTTCTGTTAAGCCCCCAAAATAAACATGGGTTTCCTATAATCATAAACTATTTTCACTATGGCAAATGCCTTGAGGTCGTATGTAGCCATTTCGTATATCCACACCTAGACATGCAACAGGTAAACACATAAAATTTATTTCTTTGCAGTGCTCTGCCTGTGGATCTGGAAACTATAGATGGGTGCAAAATAGAGTGCTGTGAAATGAATCTGTCCTTCTACTAGAATAGAATCTGGGAGGTCATTTTCTAAAATAGTACACATCAACTGAGAAATGAAGCAATATACACTATTGCATTTTCTTTTAGATTTATTCATAGACACTTATATGAACCACATCAGGATAAATACAGAAATAATAATCAAATCAGATTCCAGAAGCTCTAAATGAGAAATAAGACTGTGCCTGCACTCAAGAGGAAGAATATACTCTTCTGTACAAGTTTATGGAAACAGGAAAGGAGAATTTTCTACCCTAATCAGTAGTTACTCAGATTGTATTTAGGCATCAAAAAGCAAAAATCAATCCACAGCAAATCTATAGGGTAGGAAAGTGCAATTAAGGGATGGGGTGAGGGTCAAATTTTGAAAGGAAAACTCTGATTGGAACAAGAAAAGCCCGTTAAGATTTCCCACTTTTCCTCCTTACCAAGTGTTACCTCCTGGTGGCACCAGTGGTGATGTGTAAATTCCTACGGAAGATGAAGATAACACTGAGGATTTACTGTTAATGCTGCTTCATTGACGTTTACTAGGTTTACTTACCTCTGAGACCCAATACTTATGTTTTCCCATCTGCTGGCTACTAAATTTCCAGGTAGAGATTATGGAAAGCTCCTAGGGACAAGGGGGCGGAAATTGAAGAAAGAACCAGATCCAAGAGGTGGTTTAATTTAGTAACATTATTCTAAATGTTGGTTCCATACTAAATATTCACCCCTGGCTTCTCAGGTTGCTACAGAGAACTCTATTAAGGGGAAATATTATCCTGAAGCAAGGCAAACCAGTAGATATGATTATTGGAAGCCCAGCCAGTCTCTTCTTCATTTTACCTGTGCTCACGTACCTACACACACTGGATTTTCAACACATCACGCTTGCCTCACATAGTGGTGCTCCTGGTTACTTTTTGAGGAAGGCTTGGTGTCAGGAGATGTGAGCATTTTGGTTTCCACCTGCAGGCAGTATTTTTGAGGTCATACAGACAATTAAAAGCACACATGACAACAGCAGGTGACCCCAGGAGAATCCTTGAGGCAAATAGGAAACCACAGAGGAAGTGAGTCCCTAGACATCCATTAAAGGATTTGTTTTCCTCTATTGCGTTGGGTTTTGCTTTCATAATAAAATCTCTCAGCAAATTGGATATAGAACAAACATGACTCAACATAATACAGGCCATATGTGACAAACCCACAGCTAATAGCATACTCAGTGGTAAAGGGTGAAAGTTTTCCCTCTAGGATCAGCAACAAGACAAGGGTGCCCACTTCCACCATTAAAATTTCAATATATACTGGAAGTCCTAGCCAAGACAATCAGACAAGAAAAAGAAGTAAAAGGCATTCAAATCACAAAGGAAAACATTGTCTCTGTTTGATGATGACATAATCTTGTGTAAAGAGAATTCTAAAGACTCCAAATTAAAAAGCCTTTGACTACTAAATAAATTCAGTAAAGCGTCAGGATACAAAATCAACATGCAAACCTCATTTGCATTTCTATACACTAACAATGAACTGTCTGAAAAAGAATTAAAGAAACATTCTCATTCATAATAGCATCAAAAATAATAAGATACTTAGGAATAAGTTTAACCAAGGATTTGAAAGCTCTATAATTAAAATGTGTAAGACATTGACAAAAGAAATTGAAGAGGACAAAAATAAATGGAAATACATCCTTTATTCCTAGATTTAACATTGAGTTGATACTGTTAAAATAGCATACTACTCAAGCCATCTATATATTCAAAGAAATCCCTATCAAAATTCTAATGGCATTCAAACAATAGCACAATCCTAAAATTTGTAGGAAATCTCAAAAGACCCCGAGTAGCCAAAAAAGTCTTGATAGAGAACACATATGGAGACATTGTACTTTCTGGTTTCAAACTATATTACAATACTATAGTAATCAAAACAGTATGGCATATGTCTGGCATAAAATCAGACACATAGACCAAAGAAACAGAATCAAGATCCCCAGAATAAATCCATGCATATATTGTCAACTAACATTTGACAAAGGAGCCAGAAATATTCAGTGGGGAAAGGATAGTATCTTTAACAAATCATGTTGGAAAAACTAGATCTCTACATGCAAAAATAAAATAAAACTAGACCCTATTTAGTTTACCATAATGTATTATACACTTGAAAGTTGTTAAAAAAAAGTAGATCTTAAATGTTCTCACCATAAAAAAAGTAAAGGTAATTATATGACTTATGGAAGTGTTAGCTAATGGTGGTAATAATTTCACAAATATATAAGTGTATTAAATTAACACATTGTACACCTAAACTTACATAATATTATATGTCAATAGAGCTAAAAAAGAACTGATTCCAATTTTACAACACTCACAAAACTTAACTCAAAATTGTTTCAGAACTTAAACCTAAAGTTAAACCTGAAACCCTGAAATTCCTAGAGAAAAGCGTAGAAAAACGGACAGGATTGATACTTGCCATCAATCTTGGCAACAATTTTTGGATGTGACACCAAAAGCACAAGCAACAAAAGCAAAATTTAAAGTGACTCCATCAAACTTAAAAAGCTGTACACAGCAAAAGAAACAATCAACAAAATTCAAAGACAAGCTACAGATGAGGAGAAAAAGATTTGCAAAGGGGTTAATATCCCAAATATACAAGTTTCCTCTGATATGTGAAAATAGAGCATTCCTGTGAAACCTTTGGCAAGCCAAAATGGCATAAAGGGAAAAGTAGCCCTCACCTTCTGAAAGTTTGTGTTATGACACGTTTCTTGTACAAAAGACCGATGTTAATACACGTTTTCACTAACTGAAAGAAACACAAAAAGGATTTTCACTTTTATGGAAAAAAAACCATTACTCTACTCATGTACAAGGAACTTAAACAACTCAATAGCAAGAAAACAAACAGTCTGATTAAAAAAGGGGCAGAGGAACTGATTTTGGTGTTTTTCCAAAAAAGACATACGTGTTGTCCACAAACATGTAAAAAGGTGTTCTGTATCACTAATCATCAGGAAAATGCAAATCAAACCACAATTGAGGTCTTATCTTACACCTGCCAAGATGGCTATTATCAAAAGGACAAGAGATAACAAATGATGTCAAGG